AAAATTTAAAAAAAATTAAATTTTTAAATAATATTAATGATTTTAATTTTTTTTAATAAAATAATGAAGTGATTTATAAATAAAACTCAAAAATATGTGGCGAGCTAAAACAGCTTAGCGTAGGATCATACTCCTCCTCCCTTATATTTTAGAAGATACTTTGGCCAAAGCTTCTCTCATATTGCTGCTCTCATGGTTCTCTAAAATACAGTTTATCACATCAATTCTTGGCCTTTTGTTTCTGAAGAATTTACCATCCTGCCAACGTGTGTTTAGAGGGTTAAGAGACAAAGTTAAGAGGGAATCTCTTTCCAGATATTTGCCTGCCAATATGATTTGATTTTATTACTATCTTTTGTTTGTTCTTTCCATGGTCTTGTATTTTTTAAAGAGAAAAAACACGAAGAAAGGTTAGCACAGGATTGATAGGCCCAAAAAAAAAAGTTGTAAGAGTCAGGAGACATTAGGAGGAGAAGAAACGGGTGGGATATAGATATAATTATGGCCTTGAAGAAGGATGGGATCAGGAAATAATAATGATAACGAAGTCCTCCTGAAGAAATAACAAATACCCCCCCAACAACAAAATCCCCCCCAAAAAAAGTGTACGGAAGTACCCTTATAGGCGGGCTCATTAGTGTATGAAAACACTCTTAAATTAAATATAGAGGTAGAATGTGCTGGAACGTAACGTTTATAAAAATATGCTTAGAAAGGATGAATATATCGGAGCTCTTATTACCATAAGTGTTTCCATGGTATTTAAATTTTTTTTTTCCGATTTAGAACTTATACGAACTTTTTCAAAGAAACCCTATGTTTTCATAAAAAAGTTCTCAAAAAATTACTTATAGGAACGCTTCTTTATAAGATCGTATGTTTTTTTTTTATTATTACAAGTAAATTGGTAATAGTTGGTTGCTGAAAAATTAAAATTTATGTATCAGGGGAAGAAGCTCACATAACTAAATAACATAAAACAGAACTCTCACTTGAATATAGCTTTCTAGAAGGTTAGGTAGAAACTTCTACTAAAGAGAAACTTCCTTGGCTTTTCTTCTTCCTTGATGGGTGCCTGATGTGGATGATTGTGAGGATCCAGTGTATGATCTATTACTAGGTGAAGGCCTAGCTTGATTGGTTGCAGCAGAAACTAGCATAACCAGATGAAAAATTTGAAGAACCAATATCTGAAAAAGTTGGAGCAACATAGACTGGTTTTGGCATTACTGGTGGAGAGTGGGCAATGGAGCTTCAAAGTTAAGTACATGAAGAGCTTGTCTAATTGTAGGCCTCATAGTGTAATCTGGATGAGCACACCATAGCCCAAGAATCATTAACCTTTCAAGTTCTTGCTCATCAAAATCTCCATTATCAAGCCTTTTGTCAATTGCTTCAAGAAGCTCACCTCTTCCATAGATTCCATACCCATTCCACCATCATGAACTGTTATCACTAGCATTTGGGTCAATCGGTTTTCTCCCACAAGCTAATTCCAAAGCAACAACACCAAAACTGTACATGTCAGACTCTTTTGTTGCCTTACCCATGGCCAAACATTCAGGAGCCATGTATCCTTTTGTTCTGCTGCAATAGTGTGTAACCCTTTCCC